CTCGACATTGCTTAGCGTATCTTAGCGTACCATGAGTGCCGACCCTGATGGGGCGCCATCCTCCGATGCTGCTCAGGCTTTGTAGAACCTTCTCTGAGTTCGGTTTTTTTTCGGTAGCCGTTGCCTTTGATGTGCGTTGTCCCGAAAGGCGGCAAAAGCACCCCAGCCCACTGGTTCTGCCGGAGCGGCGAATGCTGCCAGCGAGGGCCCCACAAAACCACGCCCTAAGCTTGACTTGACCTCCAAAATGAGAGTCATGAGGTGGACACTTGACCAAGAAGATTCAGAAGGTTCCGTGCTGGCTTCATGGCTCGAGACCGTATGCATCTTGAATTGTGAAGGCATTGACTCTTCGGATTGACTCTCAGCAGCCCTTTCCTTGGCCTATCTCCGTCTCAATTTCAATGCCCAACTCTCGTCCAGCTGGGCAGGTCACGAGACGCACTGAAATGCCTGTCTGGGTTCTTCAGTGAGAACACCGTCCACACTAGAAGGCGGGGACGGCAGGTAGCGTGACCCTACAGGGCTCCGACGCCCATGCGCTGTCAGCAGTCAGGAACTTGCGATCCTCGATCGAGGGCGAGAATTTGTTTCTGCACAAGGCACGGCGCAATGAGGGTTGCGCTGACGCGTGATGCTGACACAGCCTGCTTTCCTATCGAAGTCTCAGCGCATTCGGGTTCAGGAGTTTGTGCATGCCTTTGGGGCTTTGGAGAGCCAGCTAGAGAGCCTGGACCGCTTGGTCGGTCGGCTGGCCCGAGCCACAGAACGCATAGCAGATCATAGCAGCATATACCAATCGGCCTTCGTCAGGATGGGGCCGTGCAGCGTGCAAGCGACCAGCTGAGAGCCAGCCGATGCGAGACGCAGGACTCCAGCGTCCCATGCCAAAAACACTCAAGACCGTACTGCATCATAGATCATCATAGCACCGCCGGCCTTATCATCCTTATCTTAAAGAATTTGAGAGGCGAGCTTGGAGAAGGCAGCTGCCCTGCGCAAGGCACCGCGCATGTGCACCGAGCTTACCAGCCCAGATGCCTTGACTCCTGGCACGTGCCAGGAGTCAATGTCCATTGAACTCAAGCAGCAGGCTTCGCACCTTTGCACAGAGCTGGGCTAGCTGCATCCTTCCATGCTTATGTCAGGTCTTGGAGAAGTTCCTGACGCGGTTTCGGCTGTCAGAGGCACACTGCATTGAACAATTTTGGGCATGGGGCAGCCAAGTGAAGACTGAAAGTGCAAAGTGGTAGGTGATATTGTGGGTCTCTGGACAGGCAGACACGCAAGTAGTGCGTTCTGGCGACAGACCACTAGACGATGACTTCTTCACGGCTTTCGAAAGGCTCGAGCAGGTGGGAGCTGCTTTACCCCGTGTCAGCTTCCACTTTGTGTTCAGAACGTGGCAGAGGTACGTGCTAATGCTCGCCATATGCACTGCGCTTAGCAACCCGTCAGCGGTTAAGAACTGCCAGCCGCATCTTGCTGTTTCAGGCTTAACACTAGTGGCCAGCAAACTTCTGGAGCCTGATGCCAAGATGTAATCACTTCACCAGACTTGCAAAGCTCGCGGACTTGTGCCATCATCAGATTGTGAAAGGTCGATATCTTGCATGAGACATCAGAGGTGTTGGAGGCAACAGCCCCAGCTGATTCTTTCTCCTGTTTCAATGCCAGATGTGTCGCTGGAGGCTTCCTACGAGCGAATGTTTGTTTGGGAGCCGAACTCGGATAGCCAAAGTTCTGGACCCCAAAGAGTCGCCATTCCCTTCTGGTGCGAAGCTTGGAAGTGCGGCAAGGTCCAGCAGCAGTGCCGGGGCTCAAGAGATGCGGCCGTGGCAAAGAGCACGCGCAACCTTCAGGATGCCACGCTGGGTCTTGTTCTGGGTTTTGTTGCGCGGTGTAGCGTGCTTCTGCTTAGGTCTGCAGAACTGGAAACCCCTGCTGGGAACGTGCTGAAGCGAGTGTTGAAGCTTGACCCTCAGCCGCCAGAGTTTGCGGCTTAAGTTCTGGGTGTTTCGGCGGAGCAGTGGGGTTGGTTGTCAATCTGGTCTTCTCAAGCAGTGGGTCGAACTGTGCTGGACGGCAAGGAAGACCGAGCCACGTGGAGAGAGCAAAGCGAGCACAAGAATTTCCAACAGGGAAGCCCCTTGAAACTGACATCCACAACTATTGCCAGGAGAAGCTGCCCGTCACAGCGAGGTATTTCAATAAAGTCGAATGAGCCAGTAGCCCCACTCCAGCATCAGGTGGACGGATTGTGCAGAGAGTAGCCTGACGAAAGCCTGCTATCAATTCCAGATGTTCGATGCTGACAACTGGAACACTTGCTGCAACAAGGCTGCTGAAGGAGCGGCCGGTGTATTTCAACCACTGCTTGCGCGACATCGTGCGGGTCAGGACGGTGAAGTTCCTGGTACTGGTAGTGAAGCACGTAATGCAGCCCAAAGTCGTCGGGGCGCCGACAAGTCAACTGAGCCACCTACAGGAAGCAGGCGCTCCAGCAAAGATTTCTGGAGGCTCTGCCATTCCCTCGCAGCTCCAGGAAGTACTTTGCCTTGCTCCGGACAGGCGCTGACTCAGGGAGGCTCCTCCTTTGGAGCACGGCCCATTGAACTTCAGGAGCCGCGCTCAGTGACTGAAGGCAGCGCTTCTGGGCTGTTCTGTGCAGACTGAGGCCGGTGATCCGGTTCGATATGTGAGCGACATGCTGGCGTGGATTCGAGAGCATGTTGGGCGACCCAGTCCTCCACAGTGGCTCCCTCTAATCTGTGTGTCGGTCACAGGTCGCGGTGGAGTGCGAGGCAGTGACTGCCCTCATGGACTCAGAGACACAACCTGAGGTGCCCGCCACTGGTGCCTTCTGGTGAGCATGTTTTGGCTGCATTGGTTGAAGTACATGACGCCCCTGCAGCCCATATTTTTTCCGGCAACAATTACACTCTGCTGTTTCAGGGGTGTTCAACGCTGTAGAGACTGGCTTAGGCTTGAGTCTTGAGGTGTACAGCGGGCAGCATGCACAGAGCTTTTTTATGTCTTGTCGTCTCCCTAGGCTCGCTCATTAATGTTGTTCTCTCTCCCTCTTAGTCCCAGTCGGAGTCTTTGACTTTCTGCTGCACTTAATCAGAGGGTAGATGTAGCCTCGGCTCGCGAGGGGCTGTGCGTGCTTTGGTCGGTTCAGGCGCGGAAAAGCAGCGGACAGGAGAAGAACGTCGATTCCGTCGAGGGCTCGTCACTCGGCACAAACGCTGCCCCTTTTGCTCTTTTGTCATTTGAGGGCAACCAGCGAACAACTTTCATTCGCCTGCGCATTCATGACCGTCGGTCGTTTTTGGACCGGTATTCGTGACCGGCTTAGGACCCTTATCGGGTTTGAGGAGGTCCTCGACATTGCATTGGAAGGCATCGCCGCGACCCTCGTTGCCAGAACGAAGCAAGCTTTGCAGGCCAACGTGGCGATCGTAACTATGTACAAAGTGGCCCAAGTCTTCTCCTTTTACGCGAAGACAATTGCAGACACGCTGCGACGGAATGAGTCCGCACTGGTGTCCACGTGCATGGATCTACATGCCAGAACCTACCAAAACTTCCTGGATCTTTGGGAAGCTCAGGCCCAGAAGCTTCGGCAAGGTGTCTCTGGGGTGTATGTCGCAGCCCTCTCTGCTCCTTCCTTTGTCCTGGAGGCTGTGAATACCTTGCAGGAGGTATTGTCCATCTACGAGATGGCTCCTGTTCCAACCGGCGAGCGCGAAGCAGACTTCCTGCCAGTCTTGTCTGCCGCCTTCGATCCTCTTTTAAATCATTGCCAGCAGGTTGCACAGATGATGGAGACCGCAGATGGGATCGTCTTTCTCATTAACTGCGTGTGTGCGATGCAGATGCCATTGCAGAAGCATGACTTTACCAAGCAGCGGCAGGAGATGTATTCCAGCTTTCTCGAAGACCAGCTCAATCGCTTGGTGGAAGGTCAGACCAAAGCTGTCCTGTCGAAAGTTGGCCTTGCTGAGCGGTTGAAAGCATTGCGCGAGAAGCTACCCGAGACAGCGCTCAGTTCGGTTCCTGAGCTGCATCCGGTTTCCCTTGCTGCGACTTTGCGGTCCTTCTACAACTCCCTGTTCACTCTCGGTGGAGCCTTGTCGCTGCGTCTATTGGAGCGCATCGATGACGTGGCCTTGAGAGAAAGGGCCCGCAAAGGCGTGTCCGGACTCATCGCCTCCGAGTATGAGGAGCTGTACGTGGGGATTGAAGCCCTCGGCGTTGCCACGCATACACCTGCCCAGGTGCTCTCGACCTGCATGGGGATAAGGAAAGGTGACTCTAGTTGAGGGGGATGGATTTTGCAGACCGGCATCTATCTGTCTTGTGACTAGCTACCAGTAGTTGATGTGGTGCTTTCATGGTTGAGTTGCCCTCCTGCCAGGTTCGAACATTGCTGGAAGGAGTTTGAGGTCTGAGCAAAGCTGATAATGGGAGACAGCTGCACCCTCGAGGAGGAAGCAGTGTGATGCACTTCGATCGCTATGGATTCAAAGAGAGGAATGATCACCTGGAGCTGCTGTTCTGCGAAGGTGCTTCTCACATTTACCGCTTGTGTTCTGTCCGCTGATAGAGCTTCCTCTCTACCGCTGCCTCAGGTTTCACAGCTTAGACTTATAGGGCATGTGAGTCACATGTAAGAAACTATCAGAGTTGTGCATGCAAACTGCCTGTTGTGACACCCATGCCCATATCTCTCGACATGATAGTCCCCTTTGTGGATGAGCATGTGGCGGGAAGCAGATTTAGAAGCNNGGGCCACTACACGCCTCCCGCTGTGGGGCGCACTGCAACGCTGAGACACACCTTCTGACAGGGAACTCTAAGGATCGCACATAGGTTCGTTGCACGATTTCGCGTGACACCGCGTTGCGACGAACAGCACACGCCCAGGCAGCGCAGTTATCCGTGTTGCGTCTTCAGACGCATTCAGCCTGCCTTTTGCTGGCCACCAAGGGATCCGGATGGAGACCCGGCCGGAAGCCCTACTGTAGCCTACTAGTCACTAGTCTTTTCGGAAGGCTTAATTTGAGTTGCGGATCCTGCACGTGAAATATGTGGCCGCACGCCCTGACTTCTGAGGTCTGTAGTGCTTGAGGAGCATGTCGACTCGGACAGCTCTGCAAACTCCATCGTAAAATTTGTCTCACCAAGGCGGCTTTGCCTTCGAATTAGAAGTGGCTTGGCGCCAGGAATACGAGCCAACGGAGCAGGAGATTCTAGACTATTCCGAATGGCCGCGGCCTTGGGCAACTCCATTCCCAGTATCACTATAGCATCGGCTTCCGCCGCCTTCGAGCTGAGAGGCTTGGAATGGACCTGGAGAACGACAAGGACTTGATGTGGATTGCCAGGGCCGGCCTGAAGGCGAGATTAAAGGCCCGGCCTCCTGGTGCTCTTGGGACGTCCTCTTTTTGAGAGGTTCCCCTGCCTCCGCCGTGGAAACCCTGCACCACTGGAGAAGTCCTGCTCTCAGCGATGGTGTTCGTTGCGGTTTTCCCCGCAGCATCTTCGAAGCTCCAGGAGAACGAGGTGTTTTACTTTAACTTCGACACTGGCGAAAGTGTCTCTTCCTCACCACATGTTTGCCATTCTACAGTATGCTTTGTCTTCGTCGTCATCTGGCAGGAACGCATGCATAAATCGAAGCGCTTTCACTTGCAGCAGGTTTGGGACCATCCGTGTGACGAGTACCATCGCATGCTCTACAAGAAGGAGCGTGCGAAGAAGTCGGCAACTCAGAGTTCGGATCCTGGAAGCTTGTTGTGCCAAACTGGGCTGGCGAATGAGACCAGCTGTGCTTGTCACTGTTTTGGCAGCATGCTCAAGTGCATCAAGTGTACGCACGACTCATGCGACCAGCAAAACAACGTGAGCAGTTATTAGCTTTGGAGCCAAAACAAACCGATTAAAGACAGGCTGTGAGACCATAGCCAGCCACATCCAACCACCACCCGTTGCCAAAGATGCTACGGCCGTGATTTGCAAGCCCATCATGATGACGAACAATCCAGGTGGGGTAGATGCAACTAAGGATTCGGTTGCCAAATCAGCCTTTCTAAGACTGTAAATCCGGAGACACCATCCTAAGGACACCTGGGCCAGCATGGGTGCGGCCACCAAGCGGAGGGAATTCGGGGTTAGTCCAATGGTTCGCCAGGTCTAGCTCCGTTGTTGCGGGGCTGAAGGACCGCAGCTTTCTTTATCAACTTCGCCAGATCTCCAAGGTTTGCCACCGGAGAGACCTACGATGCCCGGGTACCTTGCTTCCAAACGGTCTGCTTCAGTGACAGCATAGCATGGGCTTCTCAGAAGCTGAGGTGCCCGTTGTTACTGGCCATGTGGTGTCCGGGCCTGGTGGCGCCATGCCCAGCGAGCTCGCCCACGCTCCCTGGTCTCCGCCGTGCGGGCCTGGACCTTCTCACGCTCCCGGCAGCTTTGTGCTGGTGGTGGAAAGCGCGAAGGACCTGTACGATCTGGACTCTCGGCCTCAGTTTCCCCTCCGAGTATCATCGCTTCATGTGCTGCTAGTTTTCCACCGCTTGCGTTTGAGCGGATGTCGTAGTGCTCCACTGCTACACGTGCAATACTGCAGGATTGGACCGGGAAAATGGACCCGTACATCAAGGTTCGCCTGGGTGGTCGGGAATTCCGCACCCAAGTGATGACCAATGCGGGCAAGAAGGCGAAGTTTCACTGGACGCAGATAATTGACTGGCGAGGTGAGCCGGACGTCCACTTTCTTGCCATGGACAGCAACATGCTGGTTGCCGATGGGCTTATAGGAGAAGCCGTATACAGAGGGCTTCCGCTGCATTCCGACTTTGAAGGACCGATCATCCCATGGGACGTAGAGTAGCTTGTACATCATGCCCGAAGTGAGTCTTCTCTGGAATGACTAGCACAGGGTCACAGGGTCAAATCTCCACACTCTACATGCAGCAACACCGATTTCTGAGAAACGTCTTCGTCTGCTTCACATGACTGTTCTCGGAAAGAAGTGCCAGACACAAGGGTGTGAAAACTGATAGGAACCACGTGCCCGAATGCTCCTGCAGAATTCTCCGCTCGCCAGCGCAGCTTCTCTTTCCGCTCTGCCGATGCTTGCAAGGAACCTTGGAGCTAATGCGACCCCACGCTTTTGGTGGCTGCAAGAAGGCAGGGAAGCTGAAGATCGAAATCACCTGGCAGCGTGGCCACTCGGATTCCATCAGAAGATTCCATGTTAGAGACTACAAGTCACTCCCTGTTCTCTATGAGGAAGGCCTGAAGCTCACGGCTCTGGCGGTTACGGACCCGGCGCCGCCATGCCTGGCCCTCCTCCCTACGGCCCCCCGGGCCATGGTGGGCCTGGCATGCCCGGCATGCCCTACGCGCCTCACGGGCATCACGGGCATCACGGCTACGGACCTCCCCACGCAGCCGCAGGCAGGCTCTATCAGGCTCTTTGTCTTTCGATCACTTCGATCACTTCGATCCTCGGTCAGCTGCAGGGGGCATCAGTGCCGCAGCTGCCGGGCACATGCTTTTCCAAGAGGCGTTCGGCTTTGGCGGCTTTACGGCAAAGTGTTTCGTCGCTTGAGTTTACCATGCTGCTAGTTATTATAAGGAAATCACCGGGGCATACTCGTTCCGGTCCGAACTGTAGCTGAATGGCACCGAGGAAAGAAGATGAAAAAGCACAAAAAGGAAAAGAAAGATAAAAAGGACTTTGCCTCCGAATCGCTGACCCAGATGCCATCTGCGCAATCAGAGTCGCAGGGATTGTCAAAGCCCATTTTCGCGAGGAGAAAAAGTTCAAGGTCAAGAAGATGAAGAAGTCAGCCCCCTTGTTGTTGAAGCAAAGCTGTGGGCACTTCTGCCTGTTGTGGCCCCGGACTGAAAGTCTGTGCCCTGCACTTGAACAGATGTGGCCAGGCACAGTTCCAGTTCCTCCTCCAGCTCCAGCAGCTCATGAGATGTCGCTTTCTGAACAGACGCTCCAGCTGAGCAAGCACAGTTTGCGGGATGCGGCGTCGTAGGCATCGCGGCTTATCAGCCCTGACCGAAGAAGACGGCACTAGCACCTCACCGCGACAAAAGCCGACGTGTTTGCCAATCAGATCGCAGAAATCGCGAGAGGCAAGTTGCAATTAGCGAGTTACTTAGCTCTTCCATACGGCTTCTTACACGACGGTCGCAGCTGAAGCACCTTGATGAGGATAGGCCAGCGTCTACAAGAGAGATACGAGAAACATGAAAGGGGAGAAGTTGAAAGGAAGCAAGGGCATTTGGCAGTGTTGGGCTTCAGGTACGGCCTCCCGTTCGATGAAGTTTGGGCCTCAGAGGATGCAGAGCCGCAGACGGTTTCGTTTCCGGATCCCTAGGCGGCGTTGGAGGATCTGGCACAGCGCACAAGTCTCGTTCTGCGGCCTTGTCAGAAGGCTGTGTGTGTTTCTTTACTCTCTGAGGTCTCGGCCTTTCTCAGAAGGAGGAGGACAGCGGCCGACTCCTGAGACTCCGTATGGGCGTCAGCAAGCAGAATTAGGCAGCTTGTCAGTCTTCGTCACTGCATGTGACTGCAGCCGTGACAGCCAGCAGGCACATGTAGTGACAAAAGTCATTTTTGTCATGGCCCTGGCGGGGGCGCTCTCTGACGTCGGCACTCCCGCTCCCACTGCGAAGAGCCCCGACACTAGCAGTCCTTGCAGAGCTTGTCCAGCATGGGCCAGGCCGCCTTCTGTTGTGAGCTGAGTTTTGGCAAGACCGACGCGACACCGTCGCCAGCTCTTTGGGAGAAGTTGGAGTCCAGGCTTCAAAAAGCAGCCTTGACCTGGTCAGACCTTGAGGGAGTGGAGCCGGCTGAACTGGCAGAGCTGCTACGCGAGATGGACTTGGGCCTGACAGAACGGGAGCAGCTCCTCCAAGGCCTGCGTGCACGCTTTCAGAACTTACCAAAAAGGTCCGCCGTGTCGCCGTCTGAGAGCAAGCTACGCAAACCCATCCGCCAGCCAAGTGCAAGCGCACAGGGGCCGGTGGAGGGTACATGTCTGGACAGCAACGGTTCCCGAGGGCAGCCGGAAAGCACTGCGGCTGTGGATGAAGGTCCGGGTCATAAATGGCAGACTATGCCAGCCAAGCTTGTTCAATTCAGAGACGCGATCACCGAGGAGGGGTCGACCGGAGCCAGCTCTGCCAGAGAAGTGTCCGGTGCCGACTCCACAACTGCAGCGAAGTTCTCGACTACGCCGCTTGCTCCGCTTGCTGGGAATCCGAACCAGAAGACCTTGACGCAGACTCATCAAGGTATGAAATTCAGACCGTGGAAGCCACCAAGCATTGTGCTGCCCGATGACCTCTGAGAGTAGCGGGCCTAGCCTCGGTCTATGACGTCTACAGACGAAACCGGAGTTGCGTAACGCACGAGCAGAGACGCCCCACCGCGACTTTCTGGCCCTTGACAAGAGTGGGTCTGCTTAGCCGTTGGCTGCCTCGACCGGGACAGGAGCTGTTTGCGCAAGCGCTCGCCCTGCGTCCAGAAGGCGTAGAACCTACAACAGCAGCTTGGGATTTACTGGAGATGGCTTTGCACCAGACAGAAGGGGCGTTCGAGAACGTTGAAGAACCTCGGCCAATGCTCCGCCCTGGAAGCTTTTCCCAGGGCAGAGGTTGTCAGGGCAAGTCCCGGCCGCAATGAGCGGTGCCTGGAGAACCTGAAGATGCTCTCAGCAGCTAGCGGGCTGCGGTTTTCGATGATTTCCGTGTCAACGCGGAACTCGCAACTTTTTCGCAAATCCTGGAAAGGCATTATATTCTGCAGCTATCCCGCTGGAGTTGCCTTCTGTGACATGCCTCCTTGCCGACAAGTTGTGTTAGCGTCATTCTGCAAAACAGTTTTGTAGGATGCATAGGTGTGTGTGTGTGTGCGAGTTAACACGCCATGTTTTTGGTTTCGTCATGTAGGGCTTCAAGCATCTGCTGAAGTTGCTTGCATTGCAGATGCTTCCTGCTACCATGCCTGGCTGGTGGTACTCTCTCAAGCCATCTCAAGCTGAAGGTGACCTTCTTGACGACAGTGGTAGTGTCGGCAGGAGCGCCAGCGCCAGTGGGAGCCCCAGCTGGCATCTCGCACTCTCAAAGACTTTCCCTGTCCCGTTCTCAAGCGAGGCGGCGGCATGCTGGGTGGAGGCACATGCTTTAACATTCGGACTTCGCGTGGGGTTGCGCATTGTGCAGCAGCAGCTTCTTGAGGTGACCTTGAGAAAAAGAAGAAGAAAAAGGAACGTCGGCTCCGCATTTGCGCCTTGCTTGAGTGGAAGTTCCGGCAGGAGAAAAAGGAGAAAAAGTCGAAGAAAGAGAAGCCCGAAGACAAGGAAGATGAGGTAAGACTGGAGGCCCTCCAGCCGCATCCCGCCACTCGCTGCCGAAATGGGGCGCTTGCGCACCTAAGGCGCCAAGGACTTTAGCACCTCTTAGTGCACGAGGTGTCGGCGCCGGACTTCGGGACAGCTGCAGCCCAAGAAGCCCAGCAGGCTTGTTTTTTACTTTCCGAGTCGCCACGACCAGGGCCGCAAGAAGGTCAAACGGAGGCAGTGGTTCTTTTGCAAAGGAAGAGACGGAGTCTGCAGACTCTGACTAGGAAGCCGCGCCATCCACCGGTTCCTCCAGGCCATGGTTTTTCGCAGGCTCCAGGCCAGCATCTCTGTTTTTGGATATTTTCGGCCAGGGCACCGTCCCTTTCTCTGAGTGAGGAGGCCAGTCCAAGATCTTCTTTAGCGCAGAGTGTGACGTACTGCGATCGCGAAAGGACAGGCGAGAGCGGCCGGAGGAATTCAAGGCAAGACGGATAAGGCCTTTTTGGTAGAGTGGATGCCCCACTTGGCCAGATCTTGCAGGGTTCCAAAGCTCTCGATGGGCCGTCATTTCCTCAGCACATCCACAGCATTCCGCGTCTCCTTTCCTCACCTCGCAGACTCGCAGAGGCCGCGGCCTGTGGCCGGAGCTCCACCACCGCCAAGCGGAGATCCGCCCCTCGGCTGCAGTTAAGGGAGCTGAGGCGATTCGAGGTTTTAATCGAGGGCATCTCAAAAACTGTCAGGCCGGCTGTGAACTCCATGGCGGACCGAGCTCAGGCCGGGTGGGAGCTCCCACGCTCTGACTGAGTTTCGAAACCAAGAGTTTGACAGGCCGTAGTCACGGCAGTCGATGCTGGCTGGCTACCCAGCTCAGCATGGCACAACTTCAGTACTACCAAGCTCATCCATGAAGGCCAAGAGCAGCTGGAACAAGAGAAAGCCAGGCCTTCCGACCTCCATTCCAAGACCAAAATCATAGGTGAGAGATGCATTGCCTGGCTCGTGGGAGGCTCGAAGAGCTTCATCAGAAGAACATCGCCGCCTTGCAGGCCTCTTCTCTTGTGTACAGTTCTCCGGATATCACAGGCAAAGTTTTCAGTTGCTCAGGCACAACCCATGCAAGCTCAGAGATGCATGCAGGCAGAGCATAAAGCAAAGTTGGCAAAGCCTGGCTCCAAAGTGTTCTCAGAAGCATCTCCTGGAATTGTCCTATCTGACTTTGATATGAGGCATCGGCGGGAGCTGCAAGCAGAGTTCGAGTTGGTGCGCAACCTAGTCGATCCTTCGCAATGCCCATGGCCGAACCTAGATGCTGACCATGCACGGGCCCGCGCTGCCTAGGAGAGAGATCGAACCTTCAGCGAACTGCAGGCCAAAGTAGAAGCGTCACCAAGATTCTTTAAGTCTGTGCATTTGCGCTTCGTGGACCATGCGGTCCATGCGAGAATCTAGAGCGCTGATGTTCGCTGTTGAGCGGCTGGTACCATGGGGCCTTTCAGGAGAAGCACGAGAAGCAGGTGCGAGAAGAAAGGGTATCTCGGTTGCACGCAGGGTACTGCAGCTCCGCCTCTCGTTTCTGCACTTGTGAACGGACGCATTCTTTGCCAGGCTCGATTGCAACAGGAGCGAGCTGACTTCCTTCGTTCTTGCCTGCATCCTGCACCCCTGAACAGAGGAGCTGGCCTCCAAAAAAGGGAAGATGAAGCAAGAGATCGAAGCACTGGCAAAGTCTGAGGACGGGGGTCGCTTGTCATTGCCAGCTTGCGGCAATGTTCCGAGCATCTCACTGACAAGGAAGAGTTGCAGAAGAAGCTGAGCGAATCACAGGCTCAACGTTTTGCCGCCAGTACGTATGTATGATGTATGCATGAATGTATATAAGTATGTCTCGCTCTCTTTCACTCTTTCTGTCTCTCTCTCTCTCTCTCTGTTTGTGTTTGGTCGCTTCTATCTATCTATCTATCTATCCATCTATCCATCTGTCTCAATGTATCCATGTATCTATGTCAATCTATGTAGGTAGGTAGATAGGTATGTATGTATGCATGCACATGCATGCAATCAGGAAGGTATTTCGTAAGCGATGGTGGATGCAAGCGGACGGGATATGGGAAAGCAACCCTGAAAGCTGCCTCAGTGTAGCTTCTTTATAGTCGTGTTTGCGCACTTGCTTTGGGCTCTTGCTCTAGGCTTCGGTGAATTCTAACTGCCCAAAGTTGACGCAGGCCGAAGCGACGCGCTTGCGATCTGAGGCGGCGAGTCTCGGAAGGAAGTGTTCTGCCGATGCCTTGTTTATATGACGACTTGTATTGATGATTCTGCTGACAAGTTGATGAAAGATGAACCACGAGGCCTACGACGAGCGTGTGCGCAGGCTTGAGGAGGCAGGCTTCAATTCGTGAGCTGCGGAGCCTGTTTTGCGATCTTTGCTATCAGCTATCAGTCTCCGCATCAGGACATGAAGGAATGTCGCAAAGAGGTCGATGCTCTTGTACCGCCCTTTGTTGCGTCGTTCAAGTCTGGCGAGGCTTCCCATGTGCGCACAAGCGCCAGTACAGATGCCAAAGAAGTTGCGAGCCTGAAGGCGCAAGAGAGCACGGGAGGGACTATTCCGAACCCTCCGAACATGCTTTTTACCAGCACTCCAGAAGTACCAGCGAGGCACAACTCGACAGCAAGAATGTGGAAATCGAGCAGATCAAGGCTGGCTTCGCTCTGTCTGCAGGATATCCGTCCTTCATGGTGCACAGGCTGGTGCAACGTCAGCTTCTGAGCGACTGGCGAAGTGGGAGGAAGAGATGCCCGGAACTTACGTCCCTGTGCTATGTCTGCTACGCACCAGCTTGCCTCGAGCCGTTTAAGACGTACCTAGCGTGATACGATTCAGAATCATCGTGCATGCGCCTACGTGTCGAGGGTGCTTCTGTGACAGGCAGCGTCTTCAAGACTTGGCTCAAGACAATGACGAGGCGAAGGCAGCTGCAATACGCTTCTCTCAACTTGTGTAGGAGGCGCCTCTTGGCAGAGACTTGCCCTTGTCGGTTGTTATTTTAATTACAGCAGTTATAGGTATCTTACTGCTCTTGTTACTATTATCATAGCTATAGCGTTAGTACTGAGAATCTTACTGCTGGCATACGGATACTGACATGTTGATTACTACTATGACTATGATTAGTACAGTACACATGGCTGTTTCATCGAATGTTGCCACTGAATCCTTGCTCCTCAGGCACGGATCGAGCAGCTGATGCAAGATCTGGAGGCCAGAACTTAATCTTCGCTTGGCGCCCTGCAGTTGTGGGTTTTGGGTCTCGGCTCATCGGCAGAGTCTGGGTTCAAAAAGGGCTGAGATAAGGGAGTTTGGCAAATCAGGACCTCAAAATAGACTTTATATGATAGCATCCGAATTGCAGCATCAAAATAATGAAGCTTCAATTCTCAGACACCCCCAACTGCAGTGTAGTAGTGCCAGGTCAGGGAAACGCAGCGTGCTGCGCTGGAGCAACAGAACAAGGTGCTCCTTATGTGTGGCTCGTTCTCTCTCTCTCTCTCTCTCTCTATCTCTCTCCCTCTCCCTCCCTCCCTCCCTCACTCCCTCCCTCCCTCCCTCCCTCCTAATATATGTATATGTAAGTTCATATATATATATACATATAGAATAGATAATACATATATATATATAACAACCACATATTCATTCCTGCATTCATTTATTCCATCTGTACATTTTCCTCGGGCTGCCATGAGACTCCAAGTCTGATGTTTGGCAAAAAAAAACTGAGCAGGACCTGAGTCAGAGCCAAGACACGGAGGCTGGCCACTTCGATTCGAGTGCCATTCATTCCTTCGATGCATTGGAGGGTATTTCCGTGTAAAGTCGCCCCGTAAACCCTCAGCCGACAAACCCGAAACCCTAAAACCCTAAGCCCTCAAATCCTAAACCATTAAATCCTAAACCCTAAAGAAGCTGTGGGACGAAAAAGGACTGTTCTTTTCAGACTGCAGCTGCCCAGGAACTCTCGAAGCAGAAGGCAAAAGTCGCTTCTCTGGAGGCACCTTCGCGACCTTGCGCTGCGTTTTACTTTTAGTCTGAACCACACGAGGGTTTCTATAAGAGTTATTAGGAGCTTCGGATGTCCACGGCATCTGCAGGCTTCTCTGATGAGCGAGGTAGAGGCGAGAGACCCCTGCTTGTTTGTGTATCCGGGAAGCTTCAAGCTGTCGAAGGCCAAGAGCAAGTTGCAAGCCAAGTTTTCCGAAGTTCAATCCGACCTGGCCAAGGCTTAGTCGGGAAGCCGTTGGGCCATGGGGTTTGCTGCTCAACATCGGAGGCATCAGGAAACCGCGCGCAACTTGACGAGCTCCGCAGAGAACTGGATGCGAGGACAGTGTGTTCGATATGGCTCGGTCGGATCACGGCAGTCGCACTTCGGAAGAATCCGTCATCAGCCTTGTTGGAGGACTGCAGAGCTTGCTGAAGCTCGCAAGGCAGAGGGTCCTACAGGTTTCAGCTGTGCAGCGGAGACATTTGTTACGCACAATATTGCACAATAGTAGTCACTGTAGCTCCCGGCTTTCGATTTTCTGTGTACAAGCCTATCATGAAGGTGCACCACACTCCTGTTCATCCCTAAGCCTAGCCATTCGCCCCCTTGAATGAAAAGAGCCCGAGTCCACAAATATCCCGCCAAAGAATTCCAGCAGCTATATGGAGTATGGAGCGGGGGGCGCTTCTGGCCCCCTGACGGCTACAGACGATCACATCTCTGCCAACAGTACTTCGCACACAATGGCGAAGGCTTCAATGCAATGGCAGGAGTAGCACGCGCAGTCATTTCACCGCCGGCGCCAAGAACCATGCAACTGAAACATCAGCCGATTGACCGACCGACCGACCGAGCGAACCGACTATGGCTGTCATCTGCCTGGAAGAGCATGCGTGACGGTGTGGCAGGATGTGTTTCTCTGCATTCGCTTTTATGTTGTCTGGAGAAGTCAAGCAGAATAAGCCCGAGCGCCAAGCTTTCTCAAGCTTTGCAGGCCTTCCAATCGACCTGCTTTAATCCACAGCACAGTTCGGACGTCGCTGGATTGTGAACTGGGTCGCGGTCCGGGTTAAAGCGACTGCGGGCATGGCCGCAGTGCATTTCTGCTGCGCAGGCTCCTGTGACCGACTCGGAGCCTGCCTCTTAGAGATCTTTAGGTTCAGGGCTGTAGCAGCATAGCTAGCATAGCGGAATCCTGGCGGAGCAGCATAGGTTGAGGCAGGCGAAAGATGCTCTCGAGGAGGAGAAGAGGCTGGGCAAAACCGGGGGAGGGGGCATGCGTGCAAGAGCTAAGTCTTCCACTGCAGCAGCAGCAAGCACATTACAGATGTGAGAGTCTTCCAACAGGATATCGTCGCAAGCTTCGGCGGATGTCCTGCGTTTCAAGGAAGACCTCGCCAGCCTGAAGGCTGTGGGGTTTATCAGTTTACCGCTTCCTCGTTGCCAGACATCGATCCTATTTGCCAGAGGCGGAGTTGGCAGAAGAGCGTGGCCTGAGTGGCACCAGCAAAGCCGAGGCGGCACAGGGACATATAGGGCCTGCACGAGGGAGGTCAGACAAAGCACATTGTAGTTGGACAGAAAAGGTACCGAATGGCCTTGTTGAGACATTGGGTGTGAAGCGTGTTTGGCAAGGGACGGTTCGCCCATGTTGCCCGGAAGCAGGCAGCGTCGGCAAGCGGTGAAGCTTCTCGGCTTCAGGCTCCCCCAAAGTTTCTCGCGCCCTATGTTTCAAGGCAGATCCCGAGTTTTGAGGCCGAGCTGGCTGCGCAGTCAAAGGAGCTCCAACGGCTGCAGGACAGCACCTCAGAACTGAGGATGTTGTTCGCGCAGATTCGTGCATGGCAGACATGTCGGTGTATGCATGTCTGCACAGATACATGTATGTATATATGTATATACATACATACATACATACATATGTATGCATGTATGCGATGCATGTATCTCTATATCTACATACACACATGTGTATGAAGTATGTGTGTTTGTGACTTTGTCTCTCTGAGGGTCTGTCTGTCTGCCTGCCTGCCTGCCTGTCTGTCTGTCTGTGCTTTTGTTCCACTGCGGGTGTTTAGTGGAGGAGCTGCTGGATCAGCAAGGTCTCCAGGCCCAAGAGGACAGGCCTGTGCTTCTCTCACAAGCTGGAATGGAAACGGAGCTTGGTGAGCCGATGGCGACAGACGTCAGTTACTGGAAAAGCATTGGCTCAAGATCTCCTTCCGCGCCCACTAGAGTCACTCGAGCCTAGCTCTATTGAGAGATGCTTTGGCCTCACACCGCTTGGCTTGGCCTTGGCGTACGGAGTGTGCTGACGCTCAGAAGCCGATGTCGAGGTACCGGCGTGTGGCGACTCGAAGTCTTCTCCCGCTCTCCAGGTCGGCTTCTGGTCAGACGTCAGTACATGTCAAGTCGGAATCAGCAAGGTGAGCATGTGTGAGAAGCAGGTGCGCCTCAACTTTGACGCCACCCTTGAGAGAAGGCAGCGTGAGCTCGGATGGCGGCAGCGATTCCTACCGTTGAGTCGTTGAGCTTCTAGTTTCCGATACACTGCCAGGTGCCTTCTACCACAAAGCATGGGCGGCTGCTGGCCTCCTGGGAGCTTCGGCTTTTTTCGTAGCGAACCAGGACAGACGCTGATCTGATCAGCCTATCAGCCTATCCGTGGACTTGTCGTGATGTTAAGCTGGGAAGGATCGTCAGCCGCAGACCAGCCACTGCTTCTTTGGCGGCGCTGCCAAAGGCAATTTTAAGGCCACGACTCTGTTCTTGCGATGTGTATCCTGTTTTCGAGACGAGTTTTAGTCAAGCCAATGCTGCACACGCTGACATGATTGTGCCGCTTGGTGCTGCGGAAGGAATGCGGCAGTTGTCACAGCTTTTCGGAGGTCTGCGTTTGTGGCGGCAGTGGCGGCATCGGTCAGCCGCTTTCGCTGCTGATGGCGCTGGATGACAACGTAGGCCGAATGCAAGTGAAAGCCGCGCCTTGATTTCAAATGGTGCGATGCGAATCCTGGATGCAGGCGAGTTGTCTGTGTACGTGCAATGCTGAGCAAGCGACTGCACATGCATGCACACCTCAGGCACAGACTAGCCTCGCATGTTGTCTGCACTAGAAAGGATCTTGATTTCGCCATGGTCCCTCCGGGTGGTGCGCGAGCCTCTGACAGTGTCGCAAGTGACAAGCATCTGCTGCATGGCATGTCTCATCTTGTTGAGGTAGCTGCAGACTTGAACCACTTGGAGAAGAAGGTCAAGGTGCATGCGTCGAAATCTTTCCTGCATGATGCGTCCTTGCACAGCCGTCGATGCTTGCCAGGTGAAAGGCTATGTCAAGAGCAAGGAGGAGAAGGCCGGGCAAGAAACTCTGGCATACTCTTGCTGCAGCAGTCAACGTCGGATGCAACGACCGTCCATGTGAGTTGAGCTCCGTGAAGGCTATCGATGTTCTCGGAGATTGCCTCAAAGACTGCAACCTGGTTTTGGTGCCTGCAGGGCTGCCCAGGACCGAACTTTAAATACAATCATGAGATATCATGAGCATCAGGCACGTCACTTCCTCAGTCGAACACATAAGCATCTTAGATCCGGTGCTTCATGCCCAGGTCGCCAAAGTGCTAAATGCGGGCCACCAGGGTTGGTTTTTGAACGAGCCTAGTAATTTGACAGATGCGGTTGGCCTTAGTGGTGTGAGGAATAAAAGGAGGGATTTCGTCATGAGCAAAGCTCCATCTCGGAGCAAGTTGGTTGGATGAATCGCATGCATCCACTCGAGCAGATTCGTTGAACTGAGGGGTGAGGCGATGTGAGGGAAGGGTCATTCCGGCCCATGTCTGCAGGAAGCCTGGTCAAACCCGCGATGACCTATTCAAGATCAACGCGGGCATTGCCAAGGAGGCCGTGGACGTTACAGTGATGTGACAGCGGCCGGGATCGTGCACGCCATGGCATTTGCGGTAAGGTGGTGGAAGCCTGCGCCAAGTACTGTCCTAATGCGGCCGGGGGCCTCCTGCTGTGCTAGGTTTGCTTGCAGGCTGCTGGTGCTTTCGACGCTTGAAGTTCGCGTGGTGTCCTTTACACAGCAAGAAGTCAATCTGTGTGAAGCCGGATGTGGACAGAGCTTCTGAGGTGATCGCGCTGATCGTCAACCCCGTGAACTCCGCAGCTTGGCGATGAGGTACAGCGGATCCGCTACCGACTCTCACGCCACAGTCCCAAGGTGGTCCCAGCTATGGCCGAGCTCTACAAGAAGAAAGGTTTGGATCCGAAGAAGATTGTTGGCGACCATTCCTCGGCTCTTTCTCTGAGATGTCGAGATGTCTTCCTGGGTCCTTCAGCACGCTTCTAACTTGCGCAGAGGTCACCACGCTGGATGGTGTGCGAGCGAACAAGTTTGTCGCGGAGATTACCGGTGAGAACCCCAACAACATCGAGGCCGGGTTGCCTGTCTTCAAGCGACTTTCGATGCTATGACACTCTGCCCGGTCTAAGTGTATTCCCGGTCCTTGACCTCCATCTCTGGCGACGAATCGTATAAATATCTATGTCTATGACCATAGGATAGTTACGTGATGTTACGTGTTCCTCCCACAGTAGCCACTGTACAGTCGACGATTGCAACCTCACTGCCGCTAAGTAGACGCATGTTGCTGGTCATTCGTGTATGGGGCCAATGTTGCAGCGCCGGGACTGTATGAATGCTGCTTAATGCTGCTCTTCAGGTTGACAGTACATACTGATACTGTAAGCTGCAGTGACGACGACGACTACTGCGAGTGCCACTGCTACTACTGCTGCTGCTACGACTATGACGACGACCCACAACAACAACAACACCTCCTACTCCTGCACGCACTGCTTCCCTACTTCTGCTCCACCTGCTGCTGCTACCGCTGCGACCTTGCTGCCTACTCCGTCGACGACGACGGCGGCCACTGTCAGGCAGCCAGTATGATATCCAGAAATCATAAGCATACATGCATACATCTAGTCGAAGTTAGTCGAACGCAGAAATGTGTGGTTCATGAGCATAAGCTGGTTGTGATGGCTGTGTGTTCTGTGTCATGTTTAGCCTGTTTTGGGTGATGTCACCATGGTTTCTTCACATAATCCGCAGATCATCGGTTGATCTTGCCTCATGCTACTGCAGTGTGATATGACTGTTCCTTTCCTGATATCTCAACCCACCCCAGGCCCCACGCCCAATTCTGACGAGGTACCGGTTATCGGAGGGCATGCAGGCGCACAGACCTCAAGGGATCTGCGAAGACTTCCTGACTGACTCGTCACGTTGCTTTGCAGTGTTCTCGTGGTCTCCCAGGTCACCATCATGCCGGTGTTCTCGCAGGCGTGGTTTGATTCGTTTTCCGTAGACATTGACGGATCTGTCATGAGCTGGCTGCCAACAAACGGACCGCCTTGGAAGATTCACACTCGGAGGACAAGCACGCAGCGAAAATCGCACAGTCCGAGATTCCGGCACTCGACAAGCATGTGCAGGACATCGTATGACGTCAAGCAGTGCAGAGTCCACCTGTTGTGATATTTTGCATGAGGATGCCGGAACTGATGTCGTGAATGCCAAGAATGGCAAGGGAAGTGCTACACTCTCGATGGCATATGCTGGAGCCAGGCCGGCTGAGCAAGCCCCTCGGGTTTCCCGTGTCAATCTCATCCCGCAGGCTTGGGAAAGCCGTTTTGGCTGGGCTCGCGGGCACGCCGACCACAGAATGCGCTTACGCGGCTTGTCTGCAGGTGCGTCCTAGTTTAGGGCAATGAACATGCGCGTGGTGCAGAGGTCATGTCTGACGTGGAGCCGGACTGTCCGTATTTCACTAGCAAGGCACAGCAGCATATCACGTGTCATGCGGCCCCCGACGTACTCTTGGCCAGCTGTGGCTGCCATCGTTCACCTGCCGACTAGCCACAATGCGCCATACACAGCCGAGTACCTGAACACCCAGCCCTCTTTCCAAAGCTCTGAACGATCATCTGCCCGTCCACGGTTGCAGCCGGAGGTAGCACCGTTTGAACGCATGCTACTAGGGCTGTGGGTTTGGGCATGTCCAGCACAAGAGCAAGGGCAACAGAAAACACAGCCGGATGGGCAGCAGCCTGCAATCGAGAAGGACATCCTATTGTAGTGATTTCACGATCGCACTACGTAACGCATATCTGCCTTTACCATGGTTTGTGCAGGGCGCACAGATTCCGATGCAAGCTGTACCTTCATGGCTCGTTGTTTTTTTTGGTTTCCTTGGTGTCGCTTTGCCAGTGGCTAGTACCAAAGCGGGAGCCACGGCAATGGTCAAGAATCTGCGCGTCAAGAAGAAGACGCCGGGGTGGATCGTGGCCGCAAGGAATGGCGGCACTACCTTGCAGGATCCGCTTCGCTTCACTTTGCTTCGCGTGCTAGAGTAGAGGGTGAGGGGGTAAGGGCTTGGGAGGCTTGGAGTAAAGGCGAAGAAGAGTGGAGTTGCAGTTCAGCATGGGCTGCAATCGCTGGCCTGGTCCGAAGAGTTTCAATGCAGGATGTTTCTCTCCTCTTCAAGATCCGAGATGGCACACCGGAGCTGGGAAGTGGGAAGGGAGAGAGGGACTCGTTGGGGTTTGTGCGGCTTCTTGCAATCCTGAGGCATCAGAGCTTGTCAACAAAGCCTTCGGCATTGATACTTTCTGTGCATTCCCAAAGTCTAGCCCCGCGAGTCTCCCAGGAAAGACGCTGCACCAATAGAAGCGACACTAGTCGTCGTCGTCGTCGTAGTTGCTGTAGTAGTCTTAGTTAGTAGAGTAGGAGTAGGAGTAAGAGCACAGAAGCAGAGTAGGTCTTCCTGGGAATGGCACGACTAGTACGACTAGCAGGACCAGTAGGAGTAGTACGAGAAGTAGTGGAGGTCGCCGTCGAAGTCGTAGTCGTAGTCGGCGTCGTAGTGGCAGGGGCACTAGCTGTAATAGTAGCAGCAGAAATGAAGATAATGGTGCAGCCACTACCTTTATTACGAAAGCGGCCCAGAACGTTGATCATCATCATCATCATTCCTGCATTTGCTTTGTCACAGCAATAATCATCACCATCAGCACCTCCGCCGTGATCATACACACAGAGTCTTCGTCAGCAGG